CGTGCGTGCGTGCGTGCGTGCGTGCGTGCGTGCGTGCGTGCGTGCGTGCGTGCGTGCGTGTGGCTGTGTGGGCACATTGTTAGTGTACTGACCTGGATAATTTTTGTACAGACATTAAGAGCCACCGCCGACATTATGAGGTCAGGTCTCAGGACCCTGAAGCTTTTAAAGATTTGATTTGATTTTTTGTTACATCTTGTTTCAGATACCCTTTACGCATTGATTGGTCTGACAGTCATTATAAAAAAAAGGAGGTGAAACCAAAGTGTGTTGGAGTCACCAATGCAGCATGCTTTGGAGTCATAGTCATAGTTTAAACAATGCATTAGTAGATATTTAAGACACATTTGACCTTGTTTTTATTTAAGGATAACTAAAGCTTGACACATACTTTTTTTTTTTTGGTACTACTTTCAGTATTTAAGATAATATATATTATTTTTAAAAAATAGTTTTGACCAGGATACATGACACTACTCTAAAGTATTATACATAATTGTTCTATATATGTTTCTTATTGAACCACATACAGTAAAACCCAGTATTCTTTATATATCCTTTATTTGGCCGATGTACTTGTAGCAACGGTCTGAAGAAAGAAAGAAAGCCCCCTACAGATGCACTATTTACTGCTTTATAAGATCTTTTAGCATTTTATACCAATACAACTTTAAAAAAACATTGTAGGGTCACAGACAGGGAAGAAAGTTAGTCAGAACTGAATAAATTTAGAATTTGCTAGAGATAAAAAAATAAACAGTACAATCTAAACCTTATTATTTCAAAGCATTTGAGCTTTCAAATCCCTGCTCAAGCTTCATCTATCAATCCCATGTTTTAGAGTAACATTGTTACATAATGACACAGGGATAGATGGAGGCATTTCTAATAAATCAGTGGCAGAATGATTTCATAACAAAATAATATGTCACAAATACTGAAGGAGATAAAGAGCGATTAGGTTTAACTTGTTGATATTTTGCATTAGAAGTGGATTATTGTTTGATAGAAGCATTGCATTAGGTTGGAGTTTTTGTTGCATATGTCTTTGTGTTGGATTATTTGGATTATCATAATGCACGATAATGTTCTTACGCTGCAGTACCAACTACTCTGGCGTTATGGGATCAGATCAGTAAGCTGAGGAGCATGAAAACAGATGCTGGCTCTCTTTCTGTTGACTTTCCGTGCGTGATCAACATGGTCAAATCTCACTGCGCCCCGAAACCTTGTTTGTGAATTATATTCCAAACAGACGAAACGGGGGAGTTCAGACAATTCTCTGAAGTCATCAGGAACAGAAAGGAGTTTGAGTATGAGTAATATACTGTGACATTGGAGCAGAAACATTGGACAGCTTCAGTCAAATTGCAATTCAATACACATTTCTCTATAAGAGCATGACTCCAAGGATAACTGAATACGCTGAAAAGATTAATTGAGCCTTTCTTTATTTGTGTATATGTATTCAATGTATATGTGTTTTCAGCAAGGAGTAAGAGAAGTGAGTGTTCACAGAGTTCACTGGTTCAGTACATTAACTATCAGGTTGTACAACTAAAGTATTAAGAAGCTGAAATATCCAGAGTTGTCATTTAACTGACCTAGCTTGAGAAGCTTCTACAGGCCAGGGATAAACATTTACAGCTTTCACCGATGCTCCGTTGCTTTCTCTTCACATAATTTCATTTTAAGATTGTACAAGAACATGTAAAATGGTTGGATTAACTTGTTTAGATTAATAGCCATGGCTAGTTTGAGTCGGTCTGCTACTTTTGTCCAGAATATTTGAAGTCCTAGATGAATTGGGGAGATTTCTACATTTATATTATCCATGTTTCTAAAAAGGTTAGCCCTTAAGATTATGACGTCCATTTAAAGAGGCCATATTATACTTTTTGAGTTTTCCCTCCTGTAGTGTGATTTACTGTGTCTGCCAGAGTTCCCGTTAGAATATTTTTTCGCCGGTGAACATGTCCGTTAAAGTTTAAATCTTCCGGACACAATTTGAAAAGTGCCGGTCAAAGGTCTTCTTTGTTATTTATTGAGCTTTAAAACAAATTGATATGATTCGATATTAAACAAACTAATTATAGTAGATTAACTACATTATTCAAAAGTGAACAGTAATTTACAATAACACGGGAATAATAAACGGAGCGCTCTCTCCCTCTCCTGACAGCCCGTCAGTATCATGCAGCTCGCGGATCCAGTAATGAGTGACCCGACAGTAAAACTAAACATATCTATAACTAGTTACGGTAGTTTGAGAGGTAATTAAAATAGCTACGTGTGATATTCTAACCTGAAGTGTGTGTTTTGCTCCGCTCACCGCTGCAGGTGATCATGCGGAGCTGCGTGTCGACTCATCAGCAGCAGCTGATCTCTCTCTCCCGTCAGATTAGACTTTACTCGCGTTTATGTCCATATCGATCAGATCTAGCTAGTTCTAGCTAATGATATGACTACCTGCTGATTAAAAGACACCTAAACAATAAGCGTCGCTATGCAACCGGGTGAGGCCGCAAAGTATAGCGCAGCATTATGCATTTGTTTACATGCCCACCGGAACCCTGAGGCATTACCAACAGATCAACGCACAATCAACCCATACAGGACATCTCTTTCTCCACATTAAGTGTTTGACATTAGAATTGACTATTCTTGACTGTCACATAAGCCGCGCAAGTTGCGCAACTGATGCGGTATTGCGCTAAGGGGAAATATATTTTTGACCGGACGCTTTGACCGGAGAGATTTATATTTGCCGGTCTTCAGCATATTTTACTGGTCGTAGTCCGGTAATTACCGGCTAACGGGAACTCTGGTATCTGCATGTAAATGGTCTGCAAAGGTAAAATGTTTCCTCCAGAGGGAGTTTCTCTACCACAGATTGAGAAAAAGAACATTATGTCTTCTTAAACGTATTCTGTGAAATATCTAATCATCTTATTGATGGATTGGCACAAAATGTTCTACAGATATTCATGTTCCCCTCGACATGGCATGCAACGACTTTGGTAACTCCCTATTTGTTAATGTATTGCCATCATCAGATGTTTTCATTTGAACCCGTTCATGTCCAAACATCTGCTAAAACCACGCCTGCGTTATGCTCTGATGTCTACTGTCAAACACATAATGTGAATGAGCAGTTTGGCTGTGGATAGAAGCAATCTATTTTGTTCCGTTATTCCATAGCAATCATATTAAAGGATAATTGACTTTTAATCTCAGTATTTCAATCTGAGAGCCAAATAAGCTCCTCAAACTTCACTTTTGGCTATATTTGGATCATGAATGACAGTTTCCATGGCATTTGTGTTGGCAGTTGTCTGACTTTGCCTCACAAGGAATATTTGGAGTCTTGATATTTACCTGATCTTTTGCACAGCACTTTTGATTAAACCTCCCTGTTTAAACGGCTCATCAGGATTTGTTTCCTTATCACACTCACCACTTCCATGACGTGAGGGCTTCTTGTAAAGATGTCTTGGTAGAAAAATCCAATTCCTGAGGCTCTTAGTTGGCGTGCTTTTCTAGCCTTGGGTGACACAAGGTTGCGTAAATACTTCAGACAGTGCCAAGAATCTATTATTTGTGTAACAGGCTTACAGTCAGTGCAAAAGTGCAACATTTGATACATTTGGAGGGCTACAGGGCTACACACAGACAAAAACTTAGCTGACTGGTCGGTTTGGTTTTATCTGGCTTGTTCACTGCCCGATTAATAGAGGGTTTGAATGGTTGGAAACATTACTGCATTTGAATTAATTCTTATTCAAATATCTCCCAGCTCATCACCATTTTTTTCCCTTGCTTAATGATATTAAATTGGCGCATTTGCTTTCTGGATGTGTCTCACGCAGAAGCCTCATTGTTTCATGCTCCATCTTCCTCGAGAAGTATTGGCTTCTTGAATTGGAGGGATTAAGGGCTAGAGTCCTTGAGAAATCCTTGAAAATGATGTTTAAGAAGGTGTGGAAACCCTGAGACCCTTCTAATGTCATTAACAGATTACCTCTGAAGCATACACTCTTTACTGGGGCGGTGTTCTCTTTGCAAATGAGGATTGTAACATGACCTTTTTTCCATTCATTATACTACAAAATAACCAATAATTCCAGTAGCATGACGGTCATTTGAGCTAATCACATGTTAGATCCATGGTTTTGATGTTTTTTTAATTGTAATTATGGTGAAGGTGCTACAGAGGAGCCAGAAGTCATCCCAGATCCCGCGAAACAGACGGACCGAGTGGTGAAGATCGCCGGGATCAGTGCCGGTGTCCTCGTCTTCATACTGCTGGTGCTGGTAGCCATCCTATTGGTCAAGAAGAGGTGAGTGACGGCTGCTAACCCCGCCCCCTAAAACAGCTTTATTGAAAATGCAAATGAAATAACAACTGTGCTACACCAACACTCATGCAAATGCAAACAACAGACTCAAATGTGCACCTGATGTTGTTGTGTGCTGGTCCAGTATTTGCTGTAGTAACACCATCTCTCATCCATCCACCATAAACGTTGATCTCCCCTCAGAACCAGCGTGATCTCCTTCTGCTCTCCTTTTCAGGCATTAAATAGCTGAAGGCTTGTTTTCCTGAGATCCAATGCAAGAAGTATGGTGTTTCCAAAATTAGAAACTCCTGCCTCACAGTTGTGTGATTTAGTGCAGGAGAGATCTGAGGCTGTTTCTAGTTGTGTTTTTTTCATGTAGAGTACAGCTGCTGAAGCACACTAGACAAAACAACCGCTCAGAATAGCCGACTCACTGAAAGTGAAAAACACACAGTGAAAGAGATCCTCAAAGAATCAGTACAGATGGATTTCATAAACACATTAAAGACATATTATCTAATTGTTTAAAAGTGGAGAGTGAAGACAATGGTTGATTACAGTTAAGTATAGATGTGCTGACACAAATATATATAAATATATACTTATGAAGCACACGCATAGCCCTCTACTTTATTCAAGCGACCTTGGGTCCCATGAAAGGCGCTATATAAATCCAAGCTATTATTATTATTATTATTCATTTAGATTAACAAACAAAAAAAATCTCTTTCTGTCTAAGTAGGTTTACTAGACACTTAAAATGGGTTTGTACATGTGTGATGAAGGCTTATGTTCTTTAAGGAGAAAACAACATAGGGACTGAAATAATGACTTTAGTTTCTCTCATCCTTTAATAGTTGATGTCGGTCTCGGTTTCACTTTAGCGTTAGTTTGGTGCAGGGCTCCACCATGTGGCGCCTAAACACAACTACAACATGCTAACAGCAGCTACATCACACACACCTTTATTAGTAGTAAGTAAGCAGTAATAAGATCAAACAGTCTTTAGGCAGTTGTGTTTAGGTGACTCTAGGTAGTCTTATGATATCGTCTTATTTCTATAAGAAGATGGTTTTAGAGATGTGAGTGTATGAAGCACCAACAGATGTTTACTGCTCAGTTCTTTTTAACCTTATCATGTTGTTAAAGTTTTAGTAAAATGACAGCATCATTATTAATGTTCATCATTCCAGCTTCAACACCATAAGGCACAGTGACTGAATTGAATTGTGTAATAATAACACATGAATGTCTAGGATTCTTTTAAATAGAGTCATCCTCATGCTTTAAACACAATCCATCCGCCATACTCAAGTCTAGACACTTTTGTTTTGCATATAACCTGCCCTTTATTCAGGAAACATTCCCGAGTAACTGCGAGGTTACACAGGGTCGGATCTTGTCTTTTCAGGGTGTGCATGTCCATATGTTGGTAGGCACATTTCTAAGTCATGTACACGAGTGTAATAATTAACTGTTACTCAACACAATGTTCTTCCTGTGACCTTACAATTAAAACCTGGTGTTCAGGGATCCTGAGTGCCTCATTAAAAAGAGAATAATTAGGAGCTTCATTTGCATATTCATACTGGATATATTCACGTTGAGTGCCTCATATCCCACCTTTACTTATTATTATAAAGATAGCTTGAGTTGCTCATTGGACGCCATGTATGTTGAACACGTAGCAAGACATTTAAGATGAATTATCATTAACGGTCTCTTTCAGGAGATAGACTGATATTGCATCAGAGAGCAGCAAGGAAAAAAGTCACTCAAGTACAACCAATCATGATCTCACTGAGCAAATCAAGAACAATTAGAGACATTGAATTACAGCCGGTAATGAACTCGTGTCACCTGGGAGCTCTGACCTCCACATTTCTTTTTCTTAATGAATTAATTTAATCCTGCAGTCTTGCTTCAGATTTAATCTCAAAGTGTAATTGGATATGATATTCAAAGATCTTAAAGTGGAGAGTAGAAATATCCTATGTATTGCAGAAGCTGCTACTTTTTCCACTGTTTGAAATAGACTCACCTATCGGGATACTTTACAGTGTTGATTCACAGTTTGCAGCCAGTGGCCGGATAACTTTACTACATATTACTGAACATTATCAGTGCCTCTGAGGATTTTATGCCTTTTGAAAATAGAAAATGGATCCAAACTGAAAGATTTTTAGAGGCATTTGTTGTTTTATACTCTTGAATTGCATGCACAGCTGTGTCTGTTGTTGTTTTAAACTCTAACCATCTCAAGCTGCATCTGGGCTAGAGGAGACTTCAAATAAACGTTAGCAATATATCACAAACGTTCACCGACTGCCACAGGATTACAGAAGGAAAACATCCGGTTCAAATGGTATTTTCGAGTGTATTTCTGACAGGTAGAAACGTTATCTTGCCAGCATCAACAACTGAACATGAATGGTATCTTCGGAAATGTTAAGTCACTCATGTTTGTTTTTATACAACTCATGACAGCACTTTCTGGTTGAAAGAACTTCTTTGCATTTCTCTGTACATTTGCCAATTGATGTGTAACTAAAATGTGACATCTGACTGAGCCGAAATGCTTTTGGGGAAATGATTGGAATATATTGTCAAAGTATTTGTGATTTTTTTTTTTTCACCCTCATGAGTTTGTTGGAGTTAGTTTTCCCTGAAGGTTTCTGGGGAGATCAATCTTCATTGCCATTGAACCTTTAACACTTTGAACAATACTGCATCTTTAAAATGGAGGGACATGATGACATCGCAGTGACATCATACTTGCTTTTACAGGAAGCGAGCTGCGAGGTGTTTCAGAATAAATAGCTTTGTAGCAGTTTTTAATTATTTTTTAATTTTCCTTAGGAGTAAGTAAAGGTGATTGGCTGAAATATTTCTAATCAGGACCTTTCGATTACAGAAAACTCTTAAATAATGCATGAACATTAAAAGTATGACACCTCTAGAAAGAAAGAAGCGAAAGACTGCATGGTAAAAGTTAAATATTGATAGTTTGTTGATCTTTTAGTCATAGTTTTATAAGACTCTTAGCTTGTTTTGTAGCATTTATTGAAAACGTTTTCTTAAAGAAATAAGGCCCGTAGTTTAGTATAACTACCCCTTGCATGACCCTCAAGTTGTAGCAATCAAAAGGTGTTTTCTTCTGTTTCTGTTGTTGATGGATGGGACAGGACAGTATTGTCCTAATTTGCATATTCATGACCCTTGTGTCTCATTCTTTGCTTTCTGATTGGCTCACAACCCCAGGAGGACCTACTATTCATACTCTTATTACCTGTAAGTAAACAAACCAATCAACAATCAGCTTACCCAGCTGCTGTTACCTTATTGGGCGATTTATTATTAGTGGCTAGTTGTTGTTATTTTTAAAGATGCAGTATACTTTTTTCAAGACAAAACACATTTTCAGCTCTGACCAACCAGCCAAAGCCATCCTCATTGACGCCTCGCCAGGGTGGGGGTCACTTCACTTTCATGTCAGTGAGGTCGGGATTTTCCTTATTTTTAATCGATCATATAAATATTAAAACGTCCTTTTAGCACGATAAGGTTGATGGTTACCTATCTTAACATAACTATAGATAAATAATTGTATTTTAAAGTGACTGAACTGACAGTGAATTGACCTCAGCCCCGGTGTCCTCTACATGCTCCAAAGTTGCTCCGAAGCAGGCTAATGAAGGCCAAAGTGGGCCATAAAGCAGAACAAAGCAGGTCAAAGTGGGACGCACAGGCCTAAGCGTGTTATTTGAAAAAAGAATGCTGCACTTGTGACTGGTAGCTCTTTGTCTGCATGTAGTCATGTGATCATCCATCCGCCCATCAAGTCACAGGTACCATGGTAACCGCTGCTGCACACGCTCCTCTGGGTCTCAGTCCGCTTCCTGTGTGGAGCTCATGGCTCTGAGTTTGGTAGATGTCGGTGGGTGTTTTCTCGTGTTGTGGGTACTTACTCTTCTACTCTGTCTTTTATTGTCTCTCTGTACAAAATGGGTTCTTAATGGCCTCGTTGCACCTTCTTTTTTTTAAACAGCTGGGGACCTGAAAGTGCAAAATGTAGCACTTACAAAAACTGATTAATAAACAATATTGATTTATTCTTTACCAGCTTTCGTCTGTAGTCACAGGCTAAAAACAAAGCAGCGTGGCAAGTTAGCATTCATCTTATAGCTTAAAGGTACCAAGAGTGAAATAGCACGATCCTTTAGCGCCTAATTCAATTTTCTGGAGCAATATTTACCGTTTCCTATTATTATCCTCGTATAGACAATTTCATCTGTTGACGACCATTTTGTATTATTCATTATAGATAATTCAAAGATTAATGGGGTACATTTTCACAAATTAATTTAAATATCAGACTTTAAAAATGAATAAAACTGTCAAAAACGTATAAAAAAAATCTATTAAACCTTATTTTAGTTCTGATCACAGTTACTCCCCCTCTGTTTCTACTAATCGGTCCTTAATGTACACACCATTTTATGGTTTAAGATATATGTATAGCATTTTTCCCATCTTCTGTTTTCTGTTGAAGAACCAATAATACACTCACAGACAGCCACATAAACAATTCAATCAATTACATTTTCCTCAGTGTGTGTGTATAATATGTGTGTGTGGTCTTAGAGGTGGAGTTGGTGTGTTTTGGGGTGAAGAGGTAAAACATGTAATGAAACAAAGCATGCTTTCTGTCTGTTTGCTGGGAAGAAGTCAGAGCCGTACATCGTATCAGTTATGCAACAATCACACATTTATTCCTCAACCAATCATCTGAGAGAATATATTTTTCAATTGTATTGGAGCAAAAACTGCTATAAGTGTTATCTCATGTTAAGCAGGTCACTTAAAAACATCATTATACATCTTGTGTTCAGATGTTGTTTAACTGATGTACGTGTATGGCTCTGGGTAAAAAATGTTCCTGCATGCTCTCTCATGCTCGAAGTATTACGCCCTCTACTATTTATGTTTCCTGGGATTATATGTGTCGAGCGCACTAAGAGATAATTGAACCTGAAGATGATACCTTGATGTAAAACTGTGTATACTCCTACTGTATTTGACTACTTCTCACATGATGATGTGGTTCTATGGTTGCTTAATGGTTTCCCCTGAGCTTCATAAGTCATTCCCTTACTGTTGTTTTAATGGGTTTTTCCCATCTTGGCTGTCGGATGAAAACCAAATACTTCTGTGACTTATTTCAATTGTATTTATTTTTGTTCTTATTTTATTAAGCAGGCATTAATAGACATTTCTGAAAATGCACCAGGTATACTCAAGATGCTTTTTTGTTTTGTAGTCCCTGGACAAAGTCAGCCCAAACAAATATATATTTAAAAATAACAAGACAATACAAATAATTTAAAAGGTGCAACTTAGAGGTTCTCAATACTGTAAATGCTATTAAAACAACAGTTTTTGCTTTATTGAAATTTTAAAAATCTGATCGTGCATAAAGGTAATTACTGTTAAATAAAATACAACTGCGAATAGATTTGAGCGTAAAACTATTTCAACGGCTTTCATCTGACAGCTCATGTATGGTGACCAGGTTTATAACAGGTTTTCCCTTTGCTGCTAGTCGGCCAGAGGTCATTCCCCTGGACATGCTGCCATTGCAAACAAGCCTCTCCTCTACTGTACCTTCTACTGTACCTCCCTTGCCTGTTCTCTCCTCTTCTCTCTACCTCTCTTTTTCTCTCCTCCCCACCTTTCACCTCTCTTTTCTCTTTCTTCTTGTTGGATTTCTGCATCTTGAATCAGCAGCCTGCAGCCCCCAGCCGTGCTTTTACCCCCCCAAAAAAGATACCCCTAACTAAAGAAATAAATAGAACTATACTTTAAAATGTGATGCTATTCCCATACAAGGCGGCGGTCTGCAGGCTAGCTGATGTTTGTGTGTTTTCCTATAAGATGCCTGACGGTGTCTGTTTCTTCCCCTTGACAGGAAACTGGCTAAAAAACGTAAAGACGCCATCGGTACTACGCGGCAGGAGATGACTCACATGGTGAACGCCATGGATCGCAGCTATGCTGACCAGAGCACTCTGCACGGAGAGGATCCCATGGCTGTGACGTTCATGGACTCGCACAACTACAACAACAGATGTAAGTTCATACAACAAGACTTTTATTATAATAAATAACCATTAACAGCAGTATTAACCTTGGGCTCTCTTCAAAACACAACTCTGTTTATAAATGCACTTAGTATAAATCTAACCTTACAATAACACATGTGTGTATTTTCATTTTTTTCTCTTCTATTTTCACTGATGAGACTTGAAATTTGCAATTGCAGGATGTGTATTTCTAATTAACAGGTTACAGTTCTCGTTTTTTAAAATCAAACATGAAAATGGGTTAGTGACATCATCGTTATCAAATGTTTTGAAAATCAGAAAATCTTCACATTGTATAAACAGGAACTACACCTCGGTTATGTTTGGTGTTTTTGCCTGTGAAAATGATTGACGCGGTCGATTGTTTATCAAAATGAATGTCCTGTTTACTAATAATTTCAGCTGTTAAAATACCAACTGGAGAATCGATTCAGCCTGATCAGTTCTCCAGATAAAAATTGGAAACAAAGACATTGACTGGATAGAAAAATGTACATGTTCTTTTCCGGTAGATTTCCACTAATGTTTAAATCATGACTGGGATTTGAATTTTTCTGACCCTCCCTGCTCACGTTGAGTAACGCTGAAATTTAGAACGTGTCCTCACCGTGTTTCCTCCCACAGTGCCCAACGACCCTCTGGTTCCCACTGCTGTGCTAGGTGAGGTTTCAGCACGGTTGGTAATCATTCCCCACCAGCTCCCTTCAGTGATCACCCATCTTCATCTCAAAGCCCCTGTGCGTGTAGCCCCGTGTTGTGCGTCATTACCCAGTTAAAATGTCATACATGGTCATATTTTTTATTTCACATCCTGAGTTTAATATGTTCTTTGACCTCGGTCAAGTTTTGTACGTTTTTGTTGGTGAATAGCTTGGCCTGATGGACGTTTTACTACCATAATGCTGCGTCTAATCTATATTTTAGAAGTGCTACGATCTCAAGGATTAACACAGATGGAGATCAATACATCCTACAGGCAGTGGCTGAAATTAACAACATTTAGGAGAATAAGAACAATTTTAAAACAAAAAACGATGTTTTGATTGTTTTACCATCTATGGGAGTGTAATGGTTTAGTAATATTTGATGATGGCAACAAGCTGTATGTTTACATTGTGTCTTTTTTTGTTCTGCCACCTGGTGCCAACTCCCTGTGTACAACATAGCCGGTACTAAAAGCTCCAGCAGCCAAGCCCTTCATCTGTTGTTCTCGGTTTCCCTCTGGTTCAATCACTCCCGATCCCAGCCACGGTTTCTGTTTCCTACTGAGAGTTATTGATATTCACAGTAATTACCGTCATTCTCCCTTCGAGACCTCATTATTTCCACAGTTTTGAGTTGTTTTAAAGCATGCCATTTCCTGTCCCGGAAAACGACAGAAACTGATGCTTGAGAGAAAGAAGATCATTTGTCACAATGCCATCGCAAAACGGCTGCCGATTAAATCTGTGACATGAAGTGACAGTGAATAAGTTAGTGCCTACAGGCCTCTGTGTGTGACAGAAATGTTTTCTATGCAAGTCTGCTTGAGTATCTACCATCTGTGGTATTCCCCAGGCTTGATTTGTTACTGATGCATCAGTCTGAATTGTAAAAGCAGTATTTTTTTTCCCAAGTTCGATGTTCCTCCAGCTCCAGTGTCGCACTACAACATGTTTAATTTTAGTTTAGTCTAGTGTTGACACTGTAGTACGATACAGAGTTCTTACATACCCTTAAGGGCTCCACAGTACACAACGCCACCAAACTGTGTTAATAACTGATCCATTGCATCTAATTTGGAGTGAAGGCTGCAGTTACAATCTGTCTTGGCCAATCACATCACAGAGTGGGAAGACGTAGCACGAAGTAGTGGGATAGGAGGCAGTGTCGGGTTAAGTTTACTGTTAATTGGCCTGACGAGAGCTCAGAAAACCTTTAACAATCAGTAATGAGCTAACATGTCCTCGGAGCAGAGAGAAGCATCAGTGGGATGAAATAAACAGTGTCAGTTAATAAACAGCGGTGAAGATGAAATCAGTCGGTTTTTCTGCTACCCCGAGCTACTCCATTAAACAACCTGTCAGTCTGCGCATTAATCCTGCCAACTCACATTATCCGCCGCAGCACAAAAACGCTCACCTGGAAGTTTCCAACAATTTGACCTCATAATTGCATTCACTTGAAATACCTTTACATGCATCACAAGGTTAATTATATCATGCCATACTCACAAATAATTATTAAACCTGCAGACTTTCTGCACGTCTTAGAGGATCATTCTTCATCCGTGGTTTTAAATGTGTTGTTTGATTTATATACATTACAGCTCCATATCCTAAACATATAATATTGTGGTGATCTTTGTACTATTACAATGAGTATGGAAGGTGTGCAAAGCTCGCGATGGTATGGTGAGGTATATATTTGAAGTAGTTACTAAATAAAGTCACATTATGTAAATAGCAGCCACTGTTTGGCATTACAGTTAAAGTTCTGGCTCATTTAAGGTTTAAGTGTCTGCCGTTTAGTGTCTTTTATGATAAGACGTTTAAGATGTTTGTTTTATTGCCATGCTCCATTATTGTTTTACTACCCATTACATATTTAGATTCCTCCTAACAACTCTTCCTATCGTTCTGTCTGACTATAACCATTTACCTCCTCTCTTTTTCTGCTGCTTTGACATGTAGTTCCAATCACAGGTGAGTTATCGAGAGAGAAAACACATTAACGAATGGTTTGTTTGGTATTTCTCATGTTAAAAGTTTAATGTCAGCAACTGGTTTTTGAGGGAAGTTATTGTCATGTTAGAGAAGAGGAGGCCTTTTTTTTCTGTTCTTATCCAGGGTGTCCGCGGGGTCTTAAAAAGTATTAAAAGTTGATAAATCAATTTAGCGAAAATTAAGGCTATTAAAAAGTATTAAAAACGGAATTTTCCAAGGTATTAAGAAGGTCTACAGCAACGACAACATGAAACACCCTTTAATTGACTGCAATGACATGTCGGGAAACCCCCTCGAGGCGGCCCCATGCATAGCGCGCCGTAAAATGCTGCTTCTAATTTTAAGTTTCGTTGCCTTGCTTGGTTCGAGGGGCCCTCACAGACTCTAGAATCGCCATTGTCGATGGGGATCAAAGCTATCCGGTCCCACATGCTAAGTGCGTGCTAGCCAGAAAGCCGCGGCGTTTAAGTCCTGACTCTCCCGATAGTCAATCCGTGCCTCCCCTGACTGCACGCACCGCTGACACGCACCGCTGCAGACTCTCTGCACGGAGGAGCAGCGGAGTCCGGGCGATACACGTTCACTAAGCCGAACTGTATCCTGTCACAGTGATCTGCTATTTTAAAGTAAAGTCAACACATATCGACCCTAAATATAGTCTATATTAAGAACGAGAAAAGTGTTAACATCTAGGCTATATATCGTTTTTTGTTTTATCTCTTGGGAAAATGCCTAAATCAAATCAAACTTTCTAATGGTTTATTTTTCTAATAAACCTTGCATTGGGTTAGTCACACAATTCATTATCTTGTGCTTTGTTCTATCTGAATTATGATAAGGAGTTATCACAAGCTGTTTAGTTGTGCTATCTTACAATCAATACTGTATATAGTAAATGTGAGGTAAAGTGTGTCGCCAAGGTAACCGGTTAGAACTCGAAGTGGCGATGAGGTCTTAAAATGTATGGAAAGGGTCTTAAAAAAGGTCTTAAAATGTATTACATTTGACTTCAGGATTCCTGCATATACCCTGTTATCAGTGAATGTACATAATGTTATCCAATCTTCAGATAGAGCAATTCATTATGGGCGCTTCCTCCTTGGTTGGTCCTTAACAGACCCCGGTGTCCCTACTTCATCCCCATCAGGCCCTTTGCAGTAAACACATCCCCAACTCATGATTCAGCGCCCCTTTGGTTCATTATGTAAACCAGTAGCAATGGCTTCTCGATCCACCAGGTGGAGCAGTGATGGAAGCTGGCGCAGTTTAACTCATAACAAATATGTAGTATAGCTTGAGGGTGTGTGCTTCCCGCACCCTCACCGAACAGCTTGTTGTTTCTATGCATAAAACATCTTATTCTCTCTGTAAAAGTTGATGTGCTGACTCAAAACTCATTTGACTGCAGGATTCAGACCTGAAATGAAACAATTGGGTCTGCTTCACATGTTTTTTCTACCCTGGACAGTGTAACATAGTGAAGGCATCTCAAGATTTGGATGATTTGCATTTGAATTGACAGATTTTGCTGTTTTCTTGCAGATGAGAACCACAGTGCCTCTGCAGCGGAGAACAGCCGGCTGCTGGACGTTCCTCGGTATCACTGTGAAGGAACCGAGTCCCCCTATCAGACGGGACAGCTCCACCCCGCCATCAGAGTGGCCGACCTGCTGCAGCACATCAACCTGATGAAGACCTCCGACAGCTACGGCTTCAAGGAGGAGTATGAAGTAAGACTATAATGAACAGTACTTTTTATAGTTGCAAACATTTTAGATGCCTGGTTGGTATTACTATTGATACAAATGTTGGTACGAAAGTATAACCTAGACACGGATATTATTGATCTAAAATCTTAACAGTGCAGTACATTTTAAATGTACAGAACAAACAAAGCTTATTATGAAAATCAATAATGCTTTATTTGATGTGTTGGCTTTACATTAAAAAGATAAATGACTATTAGAGTTGAATTGCCTTTTAATTTGAGAGTATATTCCGCTTTATCGACAAAACAGTCACAGAGCTACAAACCTGCTTTTATGTCCTCTATTTATGTTTCTAATAATAATTGTATCACCACCACTCGTAAATCCCTACAATCAAGCCGTTGTATTACTTTGTTCTGCTCAGAGTCATGCGGTAGGAATGTTTAGGATCCATGACGTGTAATATCTTTTGAATTGTTTTGCGTGTTGTTGGTGATACAGAGCTTCTTCGAAGGCCAATCGGCCACTTGGGACGTGGCCAAGAAGGATCAGAACCGCACCAAGAACCGCTATGGGAACATTATAGCATGTAAGAAAAAACCCGTTATTAATGTATGTTCACAACAGATGTTACAATGTGCTTTACAGCAGCAAGAAAGGGGAAAAGGGGGTGAGAAACACGGAACAAATCACAAAATACATGTTCTTTTTGCCCTTAAATGCCCTAAAACAAAGATTCTCTCCCTTTCCTCTTGCTTCTCTCTTTCTTTGTCTGTGTTTCTCTTAATGTTTCCTCTGTTTAGATGACCATTCAAGGGTTATTCTCCAGCCCATAGAAGACGACCCCTCCTCCGACTACATCAACGCCAACTACATCGATGTAAGTGGAAACGCATCGAATGCTACTATTGGCTCCCAACGAAACCAACGAAACCACACTCCCTCGCTCGTATGTCAGGCCTCTATACCTTTATTGCGTCTACTAGTCATCCATCGTGCCATCTTACGCATCCAGCCACCCCGAAAACACTTCATGCATACAGTACATTCGTCCTGTCTCTATCCATGTATTCATGTCTGCATCCATTCTGAATTTATGATAGTATCCTGTTACAGTCTTTTGAAATTGCTATGTAGTCATCATTTGAACGTAGTTGGTCTCAGGTTTTACAGAAATGGAAAAACCATATAACGAGTGCTATTATAGCACTCGTTATATGGTTTTTCCATAAAGGAATATTTCTCTTTGTATAGCCTATACAAAGAGAAATATTCCTTTATAATCCGACTCTCATGGTCAAATAGTAAAAAAATGCAATAGCACTTAGAATGGTTCTGCTTATTGATAGCTATTATACTTGCAGAATTATTATTTTAAACACTAGCACTAAATGTTAATAGCTTTTGATCAGAAAGACTCAATTTGTTACATAAAGACCTTTTAAGAAATCACATTTTATGAATGATATACAATGTGTTTTTAATTAGCTTTTGAAGGGTTAGAAAGCATTTGTTTTACTTTTGGTTAGAGCTAGGCTAGCTGTTTCCACCATTATAAGTATTTCTGCTAAGCTAAGCTAACCGGCTGCTAGTGCTAGCTTCCTATTTATTGTACAGACATGAGAGTGGTATCCATCTTCTCATCTAACTCTCAAGAAAGTGAACAATAACTTTTCCTGTAAGACGTAGCATTCAGCTTTCGGTCCATATATCTTTAAAGTTGTTCTTAATTGTATCTCTCGTCCTGTCTATCTGTTCATCAATCATTCCATAACTAAATACACATCTACTCATCCATTCATCTTTCTTTTTTTTTTATCTCCACCTCTTCACTTTTACAACAATCATCTGCATGGTAGTCTCTTACATTGTACTTTATGTTTTGCTAATACTGCTTATAGCACGCTCTTCTATGTTATCATAAACCTCCATTAAAATCATGCATGCCACCATCCACATGAATCTAGAGTTAGGATGAATAGAGTGGACACTTCTTGATGTATCTATCTCATCTCTGTATATGTACTGTAACTATGGTTAGATGTCATGTATTTTCAATTGTTCTTGTAAATTATATATTCAACCAACTTTCTTTGGGATGAAAGCTCCTTGTGCGTCTTAGAGTGAGGAGATCACATGACATCAGGAAGTGTCCTTTCTATTCTGTCTAATTCTGGGTTTAAGATCATTTTTTTTATTTCTGCATGTTCTATTCAAACTACCATTTTGATCAATGCAACTTTTCTTTTTCTGATTGACACTCACTGACATTGTTGTGCTTTCTTTCTTTCTTTCTTTCCTTCCTTCACTCGTTCTTTCTGCCTGTGGCTTGGGCTGTAGATTTGGCTGTACAGGGATGTAAGTATCACTGTGGAATCTTTCATTCTCACGCCTCAACCTCCACACGTTTACGCCCTTTCTAAACACTCGTCATCACGTGCATCGAGTTACGTTGTCAGTATATTTTGAGTTGCTGGGGCCTCGACAGCATGAAGGATTTCACTCCATCCTGCCTCCTCCACCAGTCCACCTTACATCCCACTATGTACTGTTAGCTTAAGTGTTGTGATTATTTGTGTCGTATTGCTATCAGGAAATAAGCCAATGTCATACATTTGTGCGCCTGACTGTTTTTCTCTTTCTTTCTTTCTTTCTTTACACTATATTTAAATACATTTGCATGGGATGGTAATGGAGAATTGCCTAAAAATCCCTGTGGCTAGAAAAGTGGGATTCTCCTAATCCAATCCAACTTTATTTATATAGCACTTTAAAACCTTCAGACCAAAGTGCTGTACAGAGAGATAAGCTCACACAACATAATATAAATACATTTAAAATACAAGATACAAACACAAAACAAACCAGAATAAACGTAATAATAAAAAAATAAATAACAGCCATATAATAAAAACAATAGACCACTGAAAGCAAATAAAAGCAACAATCTACTTGTTTCCTGNAGCAATGCCTTTAGGGCTGTACCCGAATATCCGAATATTCGTTCGTTGGAGTACTATTCGGGTTTCAATTTCGTTATTCGGATATACCTTTTTTTATTTTTTTTCCCTTTTTTTTCATTTATTGAAAACTCCAATATCAACGTAAGAGTTTGTGCCGCTTCAGGTGGGGGCTAACACTTAACCATAAACGTTATCTTTTTCTTTCTCCGTCTTTATATGTAGATATTACTTTTTCTCCGTTAATCTCCGTCACGTTGTTTCCATAGCAACAACAACTTCCTGTCAACAGCGCTAACTCTCCTTCAAAATAAAAGCATGTCCATACAAAATAGGAAGCCAAGCCAAATTAGACGTATACTACTGCAATGAAAGTAACAAAAACAATGCAATATCCTTTTCAATTTCAAAGAACACAAATTGGGCTGTATACATTGACAAATAACTATAAAACAACAATGCTGTGTAGAATAACAAAAGTATTGAAGCGGTTCGCTGCTGATTACCCCCGCGCGGGCCGAATATTCGAATATTCGCTGCTGATTACTACCGAATATCCGGAGCCCGAAAAATGGTATTCGGGACAGCCCTAAATGTCTTATACATCAATATCAATCATTTTAGACACAGTTAAACAGTGAGTTAATCGTTGTACTTGTTGTTATAAAAGTGACAGTTACAATTCAGACTCATCTGATGTTGCAGCTTTGTTTTTATAATATAGAAAAGTCAGTAGCAGTATTAGGACTAAAGGTATTTCACTTTGATGAGATTACCAACTTCTCTAATTCTCTAGTGCTCTTCAACTTGTTTCATAAATGACAATCCCATTCAGTATATAATCAATTAACTTGTATTCACCCTACTATAAACTGCTCTTTAATATTCCTACAGTTATAATTAGTGATATCATCCATGAACTTTTTCTGGATATTGAGTTGTTGTGTTGTATTTTCAGGGCTACCAGAGACCAAGTCACTACATCGCAACTCAGGGTAAGAAACTGCAACATGCATTCTTCCTTTGTTTCTACAATAAGACGCTTTAATTCATACATAGTTATCATACTAAACACTGTGTGTGTGTGTGTGTGTGTGTGTGTGTGTGTGTGTGTGTGTGTGTGTGTGTGTGTGTGTGTGTGTGTGTGTGTGTGTGTGTGTGTGTGTGTGTAGGTCCTGTTCACGAGACGGTGTATGACTTCTGGAGGATGGTGTGGCAGGAACAGTCAGCCTGCATCGTCATGGTTACCAATCTGGTGGAGGTTGGAAGGGTGAGCTGCTCTTTTCCTCTGTTGCACTTTGCAAGACATGTTTCCTTGTGTAAATATGTAAATATGTTTAGCTTGCATTTTACATTATATGGATTAATCAGGACCTTTGACATTGGGATAGCCAGATAAAAGAAATAGAAAGGATCAGAATCTGCATGTTGTAGTAGCTTATGTGTGTCAAAAGGATATTCTGCAAGTATGTTATTGTTTAATAGTGTTAATGTCATTTTCTCGCTGCTGTTTTACTCTTTTTGGGGTGAATTTGTACACGTTGTTTATGTTTTATTATGTAAGATGCTATATCTGTCACCCAGGTGTTTTACTGGTTTGTATTATAATCATGATACTGTTTTTGAAACCATCTTTAATGTTCATTTTGACCAGGTTAAGTGCTATAAGTATTGGCCCGATGATGCTGAGGTGTACGGAGACTTCAAGGTGACCTTTGTGGAGGTTGAACCTCTTGCTGAATATGTGGTTCGCACATTTACACTGGAGAGGGTGAGTGAAGTATTTTTAAATAACAGTTTGCATAATGCCTCTATGTCGTTTGAGTTATATTCAATGAGGACACATAGAAAGATGAATGAAATGTAACCTAAAGATGTGTTTTGTCAACTCAGCGTGGTTTCAATGAGGTGCGGGAAGTCAAGCAGTTCCATTTCACAGGCTGGCCGGATCACGGAGTTCCATATCACGCCACAGGACTACTTTCCTTCATCCGCAGAGTTAAAATCTCCAATCCACCTGCTGCTGGGCCCATTGTGGTCCACTGCAGGTAAATAAATACATCCAGACCTTTGTTGATATGAGCTACCACACCTTTTATTGTGCAACCTCTGATCTTAAATATACACAAATTAATCTGGCAAGAAATGACAGACATAATTATTAACTTCTTTCTCTCTCTGTGTTTCTCTCTGCAGTGCCGGAGCAGGGCGTACAGGCTGTTTCATCGTCATTGACATCATGCTGGACATGGCGGAGAGAGAAGGAGTGGTGGATATCTACAACTGTGTGAAGGCTCTCCGCTCTCGGAGGATCAACATGGTACAGACTGAGGTGACTGCATTACCCATCCTCCATCTGCATCCACATCTTAGAAAATACTCAATGGACCCCCACTGTAAGACCCAGCCATCAGCATGGTGCAGGCTGAGGTGACATGTAATTAAACATGTAGTCTCGTTAAATAAACATAACGTGTATTCTATTCCATGTAATGAATATGGTAGGAATATTATCGTCACCTGGACTAAGGTAAACTCAATATCAAGGATTTGAAGATATGGTACTCTGGCACCCTCCTCTGGTGTAATGAAGAATTACATTGTGCTAGACTATGAATATAAATAATGGCATAGCTATCAAAAGATTAAAACCCTGCATAGGGATCACAATCTACATAAGATAAGATAAGATATCTTGAGGGCACCTTTTTAAAATGTATGAAATATAGGTTTGTAGCAGATTCGGTCATCCATTGTAAGAACGTCATCCTTTCACTAAAGCAGCCTTCAATTCAATCCGTCTGATCACTGAATTGAAGCTGCAGTCACCCGCTTGAAAGAACCAAAAACACAATTCCATGTGTGGATGAACTCACCAAAATGCAACCTTCTTCGTCTCATCTCATTCACGGCTCCATCTCCCTCACTCACTCACTCACTCACTCACTGCCAGCATGCTCACTTTCACGTGGCATCACAGCTGCTTGTGTTCTCCACGCGACACCTTGTGTGTGTTTTTATTGTTTTCCAATGTTTAGAATCTATTAGTGATGCTTACAGTATGTACAGTATATATTAACATGCATGTCTTGAATTCTATGTCTCCAGGAGCAGTACATATTCATCCATGATGCCATTCTGGAGGCTTGTCTGTGTGGAGAAACAGCCATACCGGTCTGTGAGTTCAAAGCTGCTTTCTACGAGCTGATCCGCATCGACTCGCAGACCAACTCGTCGCATCTGAAGGATGAGTTCCAGGTAAACCCAAATACAATCTGTATCCTTATAAACTAATAAAGTGACACTGCAGTTTCTTTCCCAACAAAAACAGGGGCAACATGTCAGTAGAAGTGTCTCAATGCAGTATAATCCACTTCTCTGCTGTTCATTCACATGCTCAGTATTTTGAGAACCATAAAAGCTTCCACAAAGGACCTGGCAGTTATTTTCCCTTGATCATGCAGCATCCAAGCAGAATATATTAAGCAACATCTTGATGAAATGATCGGCTTCCTAATCAACTTTATTCTTGTTATAATGTTATCTGTGAACCCCAATTTTTGGTATCAAAAGACTTTTTGGTTGAACTTCAAACTTCAATGTATTGTATACAAACGTTCTGTTAATATTTAGTGATCCTCAGCTAAATGCAATGTGTGTATCAATGAGACATAACGTGTTGAACACATTTCCTCCTAAAACGTTTGCAGAGATCATTTTTAATTATTTAAAGTATATCTATATCTATTTAAGAATATAACTCATACATGGTCTTTGTCTTTACTGTTTAGTTGACATTTCTGTCATTTTGGTATTTCTTTCTTAAAGGGGACCTATCATGCAAAATGCACTTTTGTACATCTGTTATACAGTGTTAGAAAACTCAACCCTCTCTCTTTTCCTCCATACCCAAATCTCTAAAAACGGGGCTGCAACGGAGCTGATTGTTATTTGAATTTTTCTGACGTCAGAAAAGGGGTGCTCCGCCTATATGGGCAACCCTCCACCTATCAGGGGAATGAGAGACCGCTCGAAAGCGCTGGAGACGCTGTAGTACATATGCCTGTAAGTGGCGCTGTAGTCTGCCACAAAAGCAGAATCAGCCCTTGTAAAAACAGGGCTGGAAAAGAGCGAAATGAGGCATGGCTAAAATGCATGATCTGTTTGGTATTTTGAAAAAAAAACTTCACAGACATGTTTTATATAGGTATGGCCCTACAACATATGTTTCAAATATAGCATGATAGGTCCACTTTAAACTTCACT